TTAGGACTACTCGGTCTAAGACCGCGACGATTTGGGACCCGATGGGGCAGGGACGAATACCGGCCGCATTAATGGCTCGGCAATGCCCTCACCGACATTCTTCTTTAAGCGTAACATAAAACTTGTAAGTTGCATGACTCGCAGTTCCGTTGCTTTAACACACTGAACTACCCATCATATGCATAACACCCCCAGTGGAAATCACATCTACGACGGCACGCACGGGAAAACCTCGGTGCTGGTCAGATCCGCATGAATACGATAGTGAACGCTGGTGTAACTCATTAACACCACTCGATTATACCAATCAGCAATATTAATGAGGTGTTCCCCGCACAGCCGCATCAATTCAGTCTCCCGAAACATCCCGGGATCGATGCACCTTGTTACTTTGTCTCGGTCCGGGCGAGCTACGAAGATGTCGAGTGGTAACAGGGTCGCACCGGTGGGAACGGGACACCTGTGATGAAGGGCGCTATCAGGGGTGTACGCACAACGAGCCGGCGTGGGCCGAGGATGGATGTGCTGATAGGACGGACACGCGGCGAGCGCGCGTTCCCGCTAGTCCACGGATGACCAACAGCCAGGGGGGGGGGGGGGGGAGGAGGAAGGGGAGGGGAGACGACGATGCACGGTGGATCCGGCGGTCACCGGCCGTGGACAGGGCCGTTCACAGGCCTCCGTCCGCTCTCCTGATCGGCTCCTGAATCGGCTTTCGATAGAACCAGAAGCCAACAAAAGAAATACCAAAGTCCATTGCAGCGGCGAGCTCCTCCGACCCTCCGGCAAAAAACGTTATTCTATTCACACGCACGGCGGACAAAGGCGGAGCGTGGCTGCACCTGTTCCGATTTCGCGATATAAAGTGACCAGCTCATCGGCTGCCAGGGCTGGTCGGCCATCAGGAGAGAGTGCGGAGAGTCCCCAGGCGCTGTGTGAAGGACAGGGTGATGAGGCGCCGCCGCCGACCGGCCGGCTTTGTTCTCTTCTGATACCGTCCGAGATACTGGGCAACGCCGCAACGAGTCTTTCGTCGGCATTTGGTTCCGGATGCGGAGGTACAGGGTGTGTTCGGCTATCTTGACTCCGCGCCGGACGATCTGCGGTACAGGGTGTGTTCGGCTATCTTGATTCGCGCCAGACGACCTGTCGCAGCCTTGGTAAGGCTTTCAGAGGATTACGGCTGGATATTATCTACAGCGACTGACAGCCTTTCTCATGACCAATTTTCCTACTGAGTGGCCGAACCGTCCCATGACGACATAACGTCAAGCGAAGAGAGCAAAAACGACTATAATTGCGCTTCTTTTATCGTCGGCATGCCGCGGAGAAATGAACTTATGATTGAGAGATACACACATTGTTCGCATACTTTGTTCCATCACCGCAATGTGCGCACCTTCTGAGGTCATTACTCTAAATGCAGCAATAATCGAAGCCCAGCTAGTGTTAAGCCCCATTTCAACAAGCTGCCGTCCTTGCGGTCACCAGACAAGTGCTTGATCACCCAGCTATGGTGCTTCCTGCTCACGGCCTGGCTCACCGCTCCAGTTCGTGGCTCAGCCCACGGCTCTAGCCACGACTCCGACCCACGTCTCCAGCTCACGGTTCCGGCCTGCGAGCTCCGACCCACATCTCCAGCCCACAGCTTCGACCCACGTCTCCAGCCATGGCTGCGGCGCACGGCTCCGACCCACGTCTCCAGCCCACGTCCTCCCGTCCACGTCTCTGGTCCACAGCTCTGACCCACGGCTCCGGCCCACGTCTCCAGCCCATGTCTCCCGTCCACAGCTCCGGTCCACGTCTCCGGCCCACGGCTCCGGTCCACAGCTCTCATCCATGGCTCCGGTCCACAGCTCTCATCCACGGCCCCGGACCACAGCCCTGGCCCACGGCTCCGACCCACGTCTCCAGCCCACGTCTCCCGTCCACGTCTCTGGTCCACGGCTCCGACCCACGTCTCCAGCCCACGTCTCCCGTCCACGTCTCTGGTCCACAGCTCCGGTCCACGTCTCCGGCCCACGGCTCCGGTCCACAACTCTCACCCACGGCTCCGGCCCATAGCCCTGGCCCACGTCTCCGGTCCACGTTTCCGGCCCGCGGCTCCACGTCTGTTCACGCCCAGCAGCATTGCGAGGAGAACAAATCGCAATCAGTCGCCGCTCCCCTCCTGGAAATCCACTCGGGAACGAGCCCGGCAACACGTTTCGAATACTGAATCATAGCCGAGACGTTTTTGCCAGACGCTCATTGTACGCAAGCGTGGGGAAGAGGAGGGAGGAGGGGTGAGAGGGGAAAGAGGACGGTTCTGTCTCCGCCGTGTGCACAGAACAGACGGGCAAACACGCCCGATCGCAGTGCACGTGCAGTGTGCACAGGCCGTGTAGCCGACTTCGCCGAGCGGAGATCGAAATCAAACAAGGCGTGAGACGGATGTGGCGGCCGGCACGGATCGTGGACGGTTACCCGTCCGCGATCTGTGCCCTATTCAGACGGGGAGGTGGGCTAGCGATCGGCGTCTGGCGTCACGGGCGAGTTTCCAGACGTACCCAGTGCACGGGTTTCTTGATGACACCTGCTGCTAACTGTCACAATATTCAGATATATTCCACAGCAAAAAGATAACAACATCAATCAAACTCTTTTGTGCTGGTTGAGGCCGACCTCGAGACACGCGATCATCCCTGAAATGGGCGACCTTCCCGAAATCGTCGGCGAGGGGTCGCAACAGGCACACTACATTGTGTCCCACACGATCACATTAAGTCAATGGCCTTCATAAACACCCATAACCTCCGTGTCACAGCTGACAAAATTAGCAGGGCCATATTCACTCCAAACGACCGAAAAGTTGCTGCCACACCGGCCGACGGCTGCGCGTGCTGCCGGCGTCCCCAGAGCGGCGCCAGCCCACGGCTCCCAGCTGTAGCGGGACGGGTGGCGGCCCGGCAGCTGGCGGTCACGCCGTTGCACACCTCAGCAGGCGCCGCCGGCCGCCTGACTGGCATCGCACCCGCCGCCGGCCGTCGACGGCGCACTGCGGCAGCCTCGGTTTTGCGTAGATGCTCGCGGCCACGCGGGTCCGCCGCTGTTCCGCGCGGGCCAAGACCGGACCGGACCGGACCGGACCAGACCGTCCAGCGCCGGGTGGCAGCAGACCGCGGCCCGGTTGGGTATGGTGCTCTGCATGAAGCCCCGGCACTGGGCTGATGTCGTTAACACAATATACAAAAGGGCGGAATTTTGTACGGTCGTGACCAGAGCGGGCCTGGATCATCATCGAATGATTGACGACCGCCATTTGACTGACGTGGCCGCTGAAATGAGCCGCGGTCGACGCTCCCGATAATGTTTAAAAATTAGCCTGCGGTCGGACATGTCAGTGCAGTGGCGTTTGACCTTGTTTGCCGACAGCCGGCTCGGAGGATAGACAGGCTGTGTCGGCGGCCACACGGCGCGTCCACTGAATTATAACACGGGTCTCACCAGACGCCGCCCGCGCCAGTGGAGGCGAGTTTTGCGGCGCCGTATATGGCCGACTATTTTGGGGAAGCGCGCTCTTTATTCGAGACCTCGCGCGGCGCGTCTCCCGAGCGATGCGCCTCTCTCTGTCAGGCTGGTTCATTGAGGGGTGCTGCTGCCCACGCGGAGCGTGCCTGGCTATATAAAGACGGTCGCCCCTCGCGCGACCGCGGCGCGACCCCACGTGTCGAGCGGCCTGGAGGGATAGGAGTGGTTCGATCGCACCGTCTCCCGTCACAGGGACAAAGCCCTGACGAGACACGTGAAGTGGCCGTGTACATTTGGTTGTGTTGCTGAAAGACTGACGGCACAAAATCGTGGTTACAAACCATTACTAGGTGACAAAACTGTGCCCGTGCCCTTCATATGATTTGCCCTGTTTTGATATCGCAAATCTCTTTCAGAACAAGCATACGCACGGAAGGTGCCAAGGAAGCATTACCATCAAGAGTACATGAGTTTCTTCCTGACGGTTGAGCATAGCAAAAGTGTTGTGAATCAAGAAGAATACCATTAGAGGCAGCTGTTTGGATAACAGCAGACTCAAGACAGTAACCAGACGACCAAAGGCGAGTACGAAACCGACCACCCTGGACTGTGATCACCCAAGCAATCCCATTTCGCCGATACGGAAGCCGGCTATCGATACAGCTGCACGCCAAACTGCGCACACGCATAACCCGCAACACACCCCCGGCGCGCTCGCCGGCCGGCGGGCATCGCGGGCGGTGGGCCGTGGCGGGGGCGGGGGCGGGGGCGGGCAGCCGGCCTCGGCTGGGGCTGCCCGCCGGCAGATCTCCGTCACGCTCCGTGCGCCAACATGACGGCTCCGGTCGCACGTGCGTGGCCGGCGTGCGCGCCGCCCAACGGGTTCTGCAGCGGCAGAAATGCGGTCCACGCTCCGAGGCGGCCGCCGGGCCGGCTGAGGTCAGGGGTCAGCCTCGAGACCCCAGGCTGACCTCTGCAAGCGGGGGGGGGGGGGGGGGAAGGAGGAGAATGCTTAGGAGTGTGACACGCACCGGAGCTTTAGCGATCTCGCTGACCTAGCCGCACGGGGTGCGACCTATTTTGAGCTCGCAAAACCGGCCTTAGCCTTACGCTGCCGCATTGGGCTTTGACGAGATCCAGTGACACGAGATGGCCCACTAGGATCGGTGACTGACACCGACCCGAGGGGATGTTCAGTTACCCAGCGCCGTTCCAAGGTAGAAGCATGCACCTCGGTGACCTTGGTGGTTCACGCGGCCCTGCAATATTCTGCCGGTTTTTTTCGCCCACCCGGTGGTGACCTCCAGAAGCTCTTATCATTCCTGATGACTTCAACTCCTTCTGTGAGCTTCCATGCTCCCCGACGACCCAATCCCCTTCCACGACAGAGTCAACCCCACAGCGTTCTTTCGAGTCAATCAATCAATGACTAAAAGGACGCTGCCAGAGGCCTCTCCCGATCCTGACCTCTCCTGACCGTGACGACTCACCTGACTCGAACGTGACCTCGCTGACCAGGATCCAGGCGGCGGCGAACTGCAGCTCGAGCCGCAGGTAGCGGGCCAGCACGCGTGGCATCTTGACCGACACGTTCCTGGCGCCGTTGAAGCCGCCGCCGCCCAGCGTGTAGTGGGTCACGGGATCCGTGTTGAAGTGGCGTCCGCCCACCGAGCCGGTGACCCGCGCCAACGAAAACACCTGCCACACGACGGCGCCCGGTCAGCGCCGGGGAGCCGGCGCGCACGGGCACGCGGTCCATTGTCTGGCGGGGGGGGAGGGGGGGGGGGGGGGGCGCCCAGCAGAGGCGCAGAGCACGCTCCGCCGGCAGCCGGGCAAAAAACGGCACGCGGCCCACCAGTCAGCGACGCACACCAGGCGGGGGCCCAGGGTTACTGAATTGTCGCTGACAGTTTTGAAATTGCTTTTGAATATGGATTGGTCATAATTGAGCGTGAGGAAATTCATGCTCGCATGCCTGCATCAATGAAAGCGTGGCTAAATTAGGACGTTTAACATGTGCAATGACAAATGTCGCATGCACAAACGTGCGCTTACCTCAATTTCTCTCTGACGGTCATTATTCGTATGGATGATGACTTCGGAAAAATTCCTGACAGTGTCGAATTTGAATTTCATCTCCAGAGTTCCGTCCGCCGTCGAGTTTCTCCAGCCCACCCACTCAAACCCTGCAAAGAGAAACAGACCATGTAACGACAAAACCAGAAGCCGGCCAGACAAAGCCCTGTGCTCTGCCGTCGCACCAGATCAAATCAGCAGATCAAAGCTTTCTCACGCGGCGGCACGTCATACATTATACCGCCGCGCCTCCCCAAACACCGCCGCCGCCGCATTTCCATCCGGCAGCCATCGGCGTCGGCCGGCCGGCGGCCCGTCCGGCACCGGCGCGGAGCGCGGCCGGACGGCGTGTTTTCCAGACGTCTCTGGGGCGTCGGCTCGTCGGGCCCAGCGGGCGGCCCCATCAGCTGTCGACCGCGACAGGCGCCCCGCGGCGGCCGGGCCGACGGCCAGGTCACGGCGCCGTGCCCCGCGGGCGCCGCCGGCCCGACGGCGGACGCCTGAGGCGCGGCGGGGTCGCGGCGGTCGGGGGCAGCGGCAGGCGCGCGTCCACGGCTGGGTGTAAGGAGTAAGAAGGCCGCAGATCGCCGCCGATCCGAACCGACGCATCCCGGAGCACACGGATGGACAGGTCGCGGGTCCATGGACGAGCGCGGACATATGGTGGCGATAAGTACGTGGTGGCCTATGTCAGGGGCAAACGGACATGCGAGGGGTGCACTGAGCCATGGATTTATGGAAGCGTGACACCAGGCGCGGGCGCAGGTCGGCAGACACCGGGTCTGCCGGATGGTCAGGTGGCCGATGACAGACCGATCGTCTGTCAGGTCACACATCCTCAACATGGTCATCATGCGGCCGACAGCTCGCCCGTCTCTCGGGCGTGTCTTCTCAGCGGAGAGGGGAAGCTGTCGGGCGCCTGTCGGCAGGCGGCGTCATTAGGCCGCTGACAAGCCACAGCTGCCGGCGAGCTGTCGGCCACTGCGACGAGAACATGCCACGCATTCATCTTCCGAATCTCGGCCAGCGGTCACCGCGCGCTGCCGAGCGGCGTCCTCGACCTGGGTCTCGGCACACACTGTCCGCCGCTCAATCACGACAGAAGCCCGGCTGGCAGTAACAGCCGGTGGTCCAGACGCGAAAAGTCACGAACCACCGAGCCACACATCCTCAAAAATGTACAACGCCGTCAGCTGACTGACATCGACCGTGGCTCGGACCACCCACAGAGCCGCGCGCTGCGTGACCGAGAAAGAAGCGGGCAGACCACGGCTGTCGCGCTGCTCCAGATGACGGTTGTCGCTGCTCCAGGTGACAGTTGTCGCGCTGCTCCTGCTGCTGTCAAGATGACGGCTGTCACCGCTCCAGATGACGGCTGTCACCGCTCCAGATGACGGCTGTCACCGTTCTGGATGACGGCTCCCGCTGCTCCAGATGACGGCTGCCGCTGCTCCAGATGACAGCTGTTGCGCTGCTCCGAATGACGCCTGTCGCTGCTCCAGATGACGGCTGTTGCCGCTTCAGATGACGCCTGTCGCTGCTCCAGATGACGCCTGTCGCTGCTCCAGATGACGGCTGTTGCCGCTTCAGATGACGGCTGCCGCTGTTCCAGATGACGGCTGTCGCCACCCAGGAGTCGCGCACGCCGCCGGCGGACCCTGCAGCTAATTGCAGACGCCGCGTCGGCGGCTGACGCCGGCTGTCGTGCAGCAGCTGGCGGCGCCGGGCGGAATCCTATTACCCTCTAATCAGAGCATCGACCCATTTTCGCATAACTGATCAAAGCAATTAATTCGAAAAGTGCACAATCGCGCCATCGCGGTGTAAACTGTATGACAGCGCTGCTCCGGCAAAAACGGCGCGGCCTGTCAAAGGCGGCTTATCTGACGCGGCGCCGACAAGCGGCCATTGTCCTCCCGAGTGGCCTCGGGCTGTCGCGGCCGCGCCTCCTGCGCGCCCGCCGGCGCGATCGGCCTCGGGCCGTCCGAAGAAGGAAACGCTCGAGAGAGACGCTTTATGGTCGTCAGCGGAGCTTCGCGCCCAGAGGAAGTCCGCGAGCGACGGAGGCGCGGAAGGTGACGACGGCGACGCGGCGGCGGGACGCAGCGCGTGCAGAGTTGGGCTCGCCGCCGAGAAGAGCGGCAGCTGCGGACTGAAGAACGGTGGAGACGGCGGGAAACGGGCAGGCCAGGCTGTCTCGTTGGTCGGTTGGATGAATCTGGGCTTTCGCCTCGACGGAAGGAGCTAGTTTCCAATTGCACGTTTGATCCGTGCGTGCGCTCTGATTACCATAACGGCGTACGTTGGGTCAGAGGAGTACAAGCGGTGCTGATATCCACGATTGTTTATCTGAAGGCCTGCAGCCCTCGGATGAGAACGACCAGCGAGCAGAGTATACGGAGATTAGCAGACACTGCACGTGTGAGAATGCGATGACTTAGTGACGCCTGTGCGTAGACCGCGGCATTGTAGGAGAAGCCAGGACAAGGTCAGGCCGAAGCATTTGACCCCCCACCGTCAGCGATAAACATCTGGATCCACACAGTGCCACAATAACGGCAAATGCTTACAATCGTGGGAATATATTTCATTTCCATCATTTTCTGGCGTGATATGCTGTGAGGGGTCGGTAGAGTAGCTTATCTGGCCTTGCCTGTTCCACTTTTACACCACGCAGAGGCCGTATTACCTACGAAATCGTGAGATAAGCTGGTCTTGTTTCGAATGTTTTTCAACGATCATGAATAAACGCACAGTACGGCGCAGAGCCACAGTGATGCCGCAGGTCGACCCTCCTGTCTTCAGGTTTTGAGAAGTCCCTCCGCCTCCCGGGTGCCCGCTGGGACCCTCCTGTCCACGGACTCTGACGCCGTCCCTCCGCCTCCCGGTCGGGGTCTGAGGCCGTCCCTCCGCCCCCCGGTCGGGGTCTGAGGCCGTCCCTCCGCCTCCCGGGCAGGTTCTCAGGCCATCCTTCCGCCTCCCGGGCGGGGTCTGAGGCCGTCCCTCCGCCTCCCGGGCGGGTTCTGACGCCGTCCCTCTGCCTCCGGGGCGGGTTCTCAGGCCGTCCCTCCGCCCCCGGGCGCGTTCTCAGGCCGTCTCCCGCCTCCCGGGCGCCGCTGGGATGACGCCCCGGCGGGGCTCCGTCGGGTCAGCGCCCGGCTGAAGAGTGCTCCACTGGAGCAGCCATTGACACGATTCCCCGATTGTCCTCTGCCATTCCCACGGGCGCGGCCGCCGCTGGCCGGAAGCAGGTCAGAGGCGGGACGGGGCGGGGCGGGGCGCGCTGCAGCTGGTCATTCAGACTCGTGTCGGGGTCACGGGGGTCGGCCGTCACAGCCCGCGTGAGTCCCAACACCACGGGACTGCTTACCCCAGGTGCAGGTCTTCGGCAGGGGCGGCTGCTTCGGTTACATGAGCTGATCTACTGAGGGGCATCCTACCCTAAACTACCTCACCCTCCTCTCACTTCCCAACGTAGGCTGTATAATAAGCTCGAGCCAGGACACAAATCCCGACGACCAGTGGAATGACTGTGGGTGCGCCAGGGCTGTTGTCTGCGGTATCCTGACCCGAGCAGTTCAAACCATCACTGACCGCGACGAACTGAAGCGGGGGAGGCAGCGCTGCGATCTGTCCAGTCCGACTCACTCCCGCTCCATGTTCAGTCCCGCCCGTAACTCTGCAATCCACTTACGGCCGCTCAAAGCGTCATCGGCCTGGGCATTGACGACGACTGGAGCACGTAACTGCGCGTGGGACCTATTCCTGAGCACCAGTGGCTGTCGATTGCCTTGTTCGGAAATGATTCATGCCTAACGACGCCCTTGGCAGCCAGCCGCGCGGCCCTGGCCCGTAGCTGAACGCTGGGCGAAGGTTTCTGATTCTGTCCACCACCAGCCTTCAGACCAACAGCATATTCCCCTCCGCCGCCGCCTCCGGCCGCGCCGCTGCGCCTCCTGTCGGCGTGAGAGCGTCGCTTCGTCAGCTGACCACGCCCGTCTCGGCGGACGAGCGACCACCGCGCCAATATAGCCTGGGGCGGATCATCGGACCGGCATCCAATCACAGCGTCCACCCCATTCTGCGCGACACCGAGGCTGGCTAATATCTGGGGACGTGCGCGGCCGCCGCCGCCGCGCGAGGACGGGTGTCGTGAGGTGCCAGACGCCGCCGCCGCCGTCCAAGCCCCGTCGAGTCACGGGATCCGTGTGTCTGCCGCCGACCGGCCGGCTGACGAGGAGTTACGCCGGATTGGTGGCACGCGCTGGCGAAACGTGCAGGTCGGCGAGTTGTGGCGATCGACCGCTCGCCCGAGGGGCGCCAAGGCAGGTTTAGGACCAGTGGCGCGCTCAGGACACCAGGACACACAGAACCAGAGGCGCGCTCAGGACACACAGGACCAGAGGAGCTTGGGACACACGGAACCAGAGGCGCGCTCAGGACACACAGGACCAGAGGCGCGCTCGGGACACACAGAACCAGAGGCGCGCTCAGGACACACAGGACCAGAGGCGCGCTCGGGACACACAGGACCAGAGGCGCGCTCGGGACACACAGAACCAGAGGCGCGCTTAGGACACACGGAACCAGAGGCGCAATCAGGACACACAGGACCAGAGGAGCTTGGGACACACAGAACCAGAGGTGCGCTTAGGACACACGGAACCAGAGGCGCAATCAGGACACACAGGACCAGAGGCGCGCTCAGGATACATGCGTCGGGGTGAAGTGGTGGCAAGCGATTGGTGTGAGCTGAGCGGTGCCAATACGGCCCCATCGCAACGGCGCGCCTGCAGATAGTCGGCCGCGAGCCGGCGAGCTCGCTCCTGGTCAGAGGCAATGACACATTGCCTGGCGTAATGTGTTGCTCCGCGACTTTGGCCACGGCGTAGTCTCCAGCACGCCAAGCGAGCGTAATATATTGCCATTACAATGGCCGCGGCGTTCGTTGATGGAGATTAGGACCGAGAAAATATATGACGAGACGCGTCACGTGAGGAGATCGATGCCTTTGTTCTTGTTGGTTACGGGTCTGTTCCGGCCGACAAGACATAGCGGTCCACACATTTTACGGCGCGCTCACCATGGACGAAAAATGAGCGCTGCAGGTGCACGCGTTCCCATGCGTTATTCACACGCGATATGCATGCGGCCAGTCAAACAAATTGAATAATTGCACAAAAACTGTTCCGAATAAATGTTTATAAACATCGGCCTAGAGTGCTGACGAGTTTGTTTTCTCACGAGCGCAGCGCTATTTTGGCATATGATCGGCCTCGCGACAACACCGCCCCCTGCGTAAACATTCCTCTCTCATTACTCCCGCCTCCAGATGCCGGCGTGCCCTCGCTGCATTCGCCGCCGCTTTTGCTCATTACTGGAGCTGGCCTCTTCATCAACAAGCCGGCAACCACGGCCCCACTTGACGTCATCTAACGCGTGACGTAATCCCCACTGGACGCTGCCCCGTGGAGGTCATGTCACGGAAGCTGCCGTACCAATACGCGGCCCGCACACCACATGACGTCAGAACGAAATCAAGCCCACCTGTTCGTCAGCGGTGACTAGGCACGGTAATTATGGCCACATGCTTCGAGTGAGGTTCTAAGTAGGCTCGTAGGTCCCGATCGCCGCTGCACTGACATTACCTTCGACATGAAAGCTGTCACGGATGCACGTTTGCTCCCCACGCTTCTAGGCGTGGGGCACCACGTAGCCACGAGTCTCCCAGAACCGACGTGCCAAGACCATCGCGAATCATCGCCTTAGGTCACCACCGCTCACCACACGCGCTGAGTGTCCGTCGTCTCCACCTGGCCAAAGCGAGGGTACGGGCGGAGCGTGCGCGCGGACCCACCTCTGCCGTGTCCACGGTCCTGCCTGAAGTTGTCGCCGCCGTATGTGCCGTCGTTGAGCTGGCCGGTGCCGCCGTACAGCTGACCCTGGTCGTGCAGGCCGTCGTAGGTGCGGTCGGTCAGCTCGACGCCCGGCCAGCGGCTCTCGCCCTGCGGCGCCGAGTACGAGACGACCCCGTCTGTGGAGGGAGGCGAGGTCACCGCAGAGGTCACGGGGTCACGGGCGACGTGCGAGAGGTGGAGCCCGGTCAGAGGCTGTTGGGAAAGGTGACGGGCTGGTGGTGCCCGTGTACAGAGTCGAACAGGACGACGCGAGCTGGAACGCACCACCCTATTATTTCCAGACATCCGATTCAGGGAGGCTCGGAAAGTCCGGCAGCGACAATCTCGACCGCTGCCGGACTGATTTCAAGCGTATGGTTGGTCCCTATTGTTGTCCAGTCATTTCAAAATGTCGCTGCTGGTGCTGCACGGCCCACAGTCTGCATACGACCTGTCCGACATCATGCGCCATGCACTAAGCGTAATGTGCGGTGTGGCCTCCGGCTTTGACAAAAGAGAATTGCACGGTATGTCCACGGAGGCATATACGCAACGGCCTTTTGCGAAGCCTTTCTATTGTTAGGAGCAGAAAAAGTCTGTAATTCAACACCGAAACGCAGTGAGCGGCCAGCTACACGTCCGGCATCAGCACGAGAGGGGCTCTTTCATGCTGGCATCGGCCGTCGAACTCGGACGTCCGTCAGGAGGAGCCGGTTTAAAGGGCGACGCGGCGTCGCACTTGCGCCTGGTGAGTAATCCTGACGAATCCGACTGCGGCGGTCGGTCAGCGGGTCTGGGCAGCAAACGGTGTCGTTTGCCGTAGCTCCCCGCCTTGCAAACCTGGGCTGGGTCTCGGGACAGAGACATTAACGGCCATTGAGATTCAGCGGCGCGAGTCGGAAATCTCCGCAGAGAGGGTGAATACTGCGTGATATTCACAGTGTGTCATTGCAGAATTGATAAGGTGCAACAAGCCGCTGCTGTGCAGAATTATCACAACCCTCTGATAGCACAAGTGAATGCAGACAAAGGACGAGGATTTCGGCCGTCATTATCTCGTCGCGGAAAAAAGTGCTGAAATTCTGCACAGCAGAGGCCTGCTGGATTTTGCAGTGACTTGCAGCCTCCATGAGAAACAATTTGCAAGTCAATCGGTAATTGCTCGCAATGGTGACGATGACGAGAAAATGCCGCGCCGCAGTGACAACACCAAACATCGCCTACGACCGTGCGCTACCTCTCACGTGTCACAAATACTTCAACAAATATGCGTTACTTTCCCCTCTCATGGCCATCCGAGCCATTCCTGTTGCCATGGTAGCGATGGGATGCAGATATATTCCAGATACGCGAGCATTTGAGGTTGAGGGTGAGCCTCTGACGAAGTGCGTATATGAACACAGCGAGTATATGCATGCTTACGCCGGACCGAAACATTCTGAGAGCGTGTGCAGATCCCGCATGCAACTGACCCTCTCAAAAGAAAAAGGCTTGATCAGCCGGGGTGACACGCTGTTCGAAACAGCTGAGACAAGCGTCCTGGACGGCGCCTCCAGAAGTGAGTCAGCCCATTTGTCAGCCGGCAGCCATCTCGCACTCGACAGCTCCTTGGGCCGTATAATCGCCGGAGCTTATTCAAACCGCCCAGACGGTCGACCCTTCACGGCCGCCGTTGATGACACAGCGGCGCTGATTCATGCGGCCGCCGGCCGCGGCACGCCGGCTTAATCTGGGCTGAAGAGCGCAGCCGTACTGCGGCGCTGTACCTCTTGCTGGATGTGTCAGTGCACAGTTATAACGGTATGTTCGCACAAGGCGTCCGTAGTAAAAGACACTTTACTTCGGTGGCACCATCTAGCCCGGCGATACATGCGTACCCCGGCCAAGCCATGCAGTAGTGTGCCGGGACACTTTCGTGATCATCGCCCGGTTTCCCATCCGGCCCAGCGCCCGGGATCCCATCCGACCCAGCGCCCGGGATCCCTTTCAGCCCAGCGCCGGGATCCCATCCGGGCCATGTCTGGGATCCCACTCCGGCCCGTGTCTGGGACCCCACTCTGGACAGGATCCGTCAGCGGCGGTCATGTTGCGGCGCGTTTTTGCGGCGCATTTTTCGCCAACGCAGCTTGGCCAGTCCATTACAGCTCAGTGCGCCGGCGTCGGAGAGCCCCTCCAGACCATTTCGCGTCGAAATGCGTGCTCGCGCAGCGGCGGAGGCCCCGGCCCCCCAGACCACTTCCCGTCGAAATGCGTGCTCGCGCAGCGGCGGTGGCCCCGGAGAAAGTGCCGCGTGTCACCATATGTACAAATGAAGTGAGAAGGCTGGCATCTGCTGGCCAGGAGGCATTCATAAGGCGATACAACTAGCGTGGAAACTGCGCACGACGAATGTGTTAGAGGTTCGTATCGAACACTTGGACGCGTGGTATCTTGTGTCCAATGTCCAGTCAATGAACTCATGAGATGCAACTTGTCTCTGGTTACAATTAAGGGGTGATGCTCTTTCAGGTAAAATGACTCGAGCTATCTGAAAAACACGTGGTGGCGCTGAGAAGTCCTACATAGTCCGCACCGCTCCACATCGAGCCACAAGTTCGTCGGTTGTGAAAGTCCCAGATAAGTTGGTTTCCTCCTTGCTTCAACGGCACTCATATCGATGCAGTTTCCTGCGCCCGTTCCTCCAGCCTCACCGCCGTCCCAAACTGCCACGGCCGGACCGTTACATTGCGCCACAACACCCGTCCACCCATTCATCTAATTAAACGATTTGCCCCAGTTTCACGGTTCATCAGCGCTGCCGGGCCGAAGTCAGCCCTGCAGCGGGGCGGGGCGGAGCGACGGCTGACCTGTCTTATTGCAGCCGTGCAGCTCGACTCGCAAGCAGACCATGCGGGCGTACTCGCTGTAGGGCAGCAGGCGCAGGCGCGTGGCGAAGATGGGTGGCACGAGCCGCCGCTGCACCGCCAAATAGTTGTTCTCGTTGCCCGGCAGTACCTGCGCGACGCGCCAGGGGCAGTGTCAGGCACGTGCGGCCGGGACGCGAGCACTGCAGCGGGTAGGAGGGGGGGGGGGGGGGGGGAGGGGGAGCATGGGTGGCGGATACGGAACAAGAGTCAGGGTGGTGAGCTCAGACACGACACTAGTTAATTAAGGTTGGTCCAACCTCCAGCGTGGCCGGTGGACATTGTTTTTCATCTCGGTTCGTCTCATTAAAACTGGACTCCGACCGCGCCGCTGATCGCTGAGATACATTCGTTACTTCGCTTACAACCTCATCACGACTGCGACACTTACGGGCAATATAGTGGCACGAGTCGATAAACATCTAAAGACCAACAAATTGCAATCGTGCACAAATGCCTACAACGCCTTCAATTACCCAACACATCTTTCAAACGATGCTGCAAGCAACGAGCACAGTATGTGGCAACCCACACCGGCCGTCCATAATTCCTTTGACGACCCCTTTAGAATCCCACCACCCAGCGTCGAATCGGGACGTTGCTTGTCCGCATTCCCGCGTGATTGACACGTGGGGAAGGGCACCCCTCACTGACCTCCGTGCCGTTCCACTGACGGTATGTGCGCCAGGCGGTCAGGCCCGGCCGCCAGTACTCGAGGGTGAACTGGTCGGCGAATTCCACGCCGCGGCCGTTGCCGAAGCGGCCCTGTATGGACACGGCGCTGACCACCTGGGCCCGGGTCAGGTCGACCTCCAGGTACTCTCGGATGCCCTTGCTGATGTGTCGGTCCGGGCACCACGCGCCGCCGTCCCGGTCCACGTTCAGCCTGTGGAGGAGCACGGCAGGTCGGGGTCAGGTCACGCTAAGCGGCCAGGTCAGCGGCCTGGTCGCGGCAGGACTTGTCGGAGTGAGGTTAGGTCACGACATGGAACACACGGAGCGTCGGTGGACAGGCCGCGTGACACGTCCGGTCAGATGAAGAACGACGAGCTTTTCGCCATCACAGCTCAGATGTTTCTTTGAGTCACGATAGATCTAGAACGCCCTTCTGGAGCTCTGTGTGTTTTCGGAAAGGGACAATACATTTTGTGGAAGTGCTTGCAGTCTGGCTTGCAGTACAAATCACTAACACTCAATGTTTCTATGTCAAACACTATACGTTGCAAAGTACATTACTTGAATAATACTGCACTATGGCACTGGACGTATTGTACACTTTGCACAGTACAAATGTTGGAACGTCACCTGAAAGTCTCTGACTTAATATGGGCGCTTTGTGTGAGGTGCTATTTATTCATTAAAGGCCATTTCCTGTTGTTTTCATTTATGTGATCCAATAACGGTCAGGGAAAAGGAAAGCCTCCTTTCCTCCACACCAAGCAGACTAAAAATAGGCCAGCGACACAAAAACACTGGCACCGGCGCTTTGATCGCAATCGCATCCAACCGCAACTGGAGCCCTGTTTCATTGTCCTGGGCTGCAGGCCTGTGTTTAAAGGCAAAGAACTGTAAGACTGCCTGGCTGCGCTGCCGCGTGTTCTGTTCATTATCGCCCAACGTGGACATGCACAGTTCACGGTAGCTGCACAGCGCTCCTTACCAATGTCCACTTTTGGTCCACCCCGCCCCCAAACAGAGGCTGGCCATGCCGGGCGAAGTCCGGCTGGGTCAGGACACTAGCCGCCTGCTCGCTGCACAAGCTCGGCCAGGGGCGAGCCCGAGGAGGCGTGAGGCAGTGGCGTCCTTGAGACTCACGTGACGACCCCGCCAGCAGGAAAAACTTGGGGGCTCCGTTCGGTCAGGGCATCGGTCCTCGTCCGGTCAGGGCACCAGTTCCCGTCCGGTCAGGGCATCGGTCCTTGTCCGGTCAGGACACCGGTCCGAGTCCGGTCAGAACATCGGTCCCCGTCCGGTCAGGACGCCGGTCCCCGTCCGGTCAGGACGCCGGTCCCCGTCCTGTCAGGACATCGGGAACATTCCGGTCTGCGAGAGCTTGAACGCGGCCCAAACTCATGGCAATGGTCAGAAAACGTGGTTCTTTGTCATGTATGCTGTTGTTGCATAAATCAAATGTCAACATTTGCGTAGGGGGCATCAGACCTCCACCTCGCCCAGTCTCCCATCCCATTGGGGGGGGGACATAAAATAAATATCCCCCTCAAAGCAGAGTTCTGGATCCGCCCTTGAGCACCGCGGGGCGGCGGCGCTATCGTCAATGATCACGTCATTGGCTTGCAAACAACGGACAGCCCTCAGTCGCTGCGCATGTGTCACAGCCTGCAGACAGACAAAAATGAGAACGCTTCCGGTGGATGGCCAGGCGTTTTTAGACGCTGGCCCGGCATGCAAGGGTAATGTGTGGTTTGCGCCTGCACCCGGATTCGCGGGTTCGTTCTGCAGGCTGACGGCGGTGCAGAATCTTTGGACGGCCAGAGCAGTGTAATGACATAGCCAGGTGACTTTCTCTTAACTGGCTGGGTTTTTTTTTTGGCATTTTCTTGCAACTGACGGCAGGTTGTCTTCAATGTTAGAATCCTGGATAGCATGTACCATGTCATGTTGGACATGCCCGTGTAAGCATAAATGTACCGTACCATTAAAACAAAACTGTTCCCTGGTGTGAGGAACTGCACAGCAGATGAGAAAATTGTGAAGGCTGCCATTATGTCCTGAAAGAAATAACGCTGTGATTTATTGATCTTTCGAGCTCCAACACGTGACTGCCAAAACTGAACGCGCTGAGGCATTGACAACTGATATGTGGATTGTAACGGGCCGCTTTGTGATATTGACCGTCTGGGTTCGGCGGCGAATCCGACCATTCCGACAAGTTGCCGTGTTTTATCAGCACGGACAGAGATCGAAGGCGGGTTGGGAACTGCGCAGTGCACACGTTCTCGTCCGAAGTTCGAAGGCGCAACTCATCTTTCACATTTACGTCCTGCTCTTTTGGTTCTTTCCATGTCTTTTGATCCCCAAATGAGCCTGCTCGTGCTCGCCGAGTCTCGCGATGGAAGCTTGATACCACCAGTTCGGCTGAATCTCACGATGGCTTCTTGATATGACCAGTCCGACCGCAGCTGGTCACGAGATAGTGATTGGGCGTGCCGTCTGATTCCACCGCCAGATAGCCTGCTTAAACTCTCAGGAACGCCAAGGACTGTGAATGCATGTGTGGAACATAGGGAGAGAATGTCTGCATACATTATCTACATCAGCGCATGTGATACCAGGCCGAGTAAAGCAGCTCACTGTTCACTGCTCACAGTGAAGGGTGACTGCAAAGACGACTGTCACGCGGAAATAATGTTCTTTGGACAAAGTCAGGAGAAGACTTTTGACCTTCGCAGCTTTGGAAGGACGCTGCATGTCGGCAGTAATTAGCTTTGACACCGAACGACACGCTTGCCAAACGCTAAACGAGGAGAAGCCTCCTCTGCTCCCACAATTCCAATGCCGCTTCCTCCTTACGCGCGCCACCTTGAGGGAGCACACCAATAATTCTTTCTCCCGCCACCCTCAGCTGGCGCCCCGTCGCATGCGCCCGCGCGTCCCGGTACCGAGCGTACGGTCAGCTGGCGGCGACTGGCGCCCTGCGCCCGGTGGCGCCGTTCTGGCGGGCAGCTGGCGGCGACTGGCGCCCTGTGCCCGGTGGCGCCGTTCTGGCGGGCAGCTGGCGGCGACTGGCGCCCTGCGCTCGGTGGCGCCGTTCTGGCGGGCAGCTAGCGGCGACTGGCGCCCTGCGCTCGGTGGCGCCGTTCTGGCGGGCAGCTAGCGGCGACTGGCGCCCTGTGCCCGGTGGCGCCGTTCTGGCGGGCAGCTGGCGGCGACTGGCGCCCTGCGCTCGGTGGCGCCGTTCTGGCGGGCAGCTGGCGGCGTCTGGCGCCCTGTGTTCGGTGGCGCCGTTCTGGCGGCGACTGGCGTCCTGCGCCCGGTGGCGCCGTTCTGACGATCAGCTGGCGGCGTCTGGCGCCCTGCGCCCGGTGGTGCCGTTCTGACGGCGACAGGCGTCCTGCGCCCGGTGGCGCCGTTCTGGCGGGCAGCTGACGGCGACTGGCGCCCTGCGCCCGGTGGTGCCGTTCTGACGGCGACAGGCGTCCTGCGCCCGGTGGCGCCGTTCTGGCAGGCAGCTGGCGGCGACTGGCGCCCTGCGCCCGGTGGTGCCGTTCTGACGGCGACTGGCGTCCTGCGCCCGGTGGCGCCGTTCTGGTGGCGTCTGGCGTCCTGTGCCCGGTGGCGCCGTTCTGCCGATCAGCTGGCGGCGACTGGCGTCCTGCGCTCGGTGGCGCCGTTCTGGCGGGCAGCTGACGGCGCGCGGTGAGTCAGCCTGGCGGTGTCACACTGCTGGTGCCGCCGGCGCCGCTGACGCCACCGAAGGGCCGCCAGCAGTGACAGCACGTCTGCTGACCCCGCATGCGACACTGGAGCTCCTGGGCCGGGGGGTCAGCTGCAGAGTCAGACAGGGGGACGGGGGTACATGATCTTGGGGACCACGACAGCGTCAGGTGTGCAGAACCAGGTTCAGGAGACCCACTGTAGGGTATGAGGACCCACTGCAGTTCCGCAGATTTGATAATGCGCCAGAAGCTGCCGTCGCGTGCAGTGGGGTCTGTCGAAGAGTGAGGGTACCCGCTGCAAAGTCAGGGGATCACTGCAGCGTGAGAGGACCCCCAGCGGGGTCGCAGTGGTCCGCTGACAGGCCGGGACGTCATCAGCCCGGCCTCTGACAGATGGCTGCGACGCCCGACACGATCTCCGTGTCTGAGGAACGGCAGTGGCGAGCCGTCCATCATCTGAACAATGGGCGGCGCTCAGGGCACCGAGCGGCGTGCAAACGACGGGACGCATAGATCGGCCCCGCCAGCGGCGCTCCGCTGACCGAGCCGTTTGTAACCGCGCCGCGTGGCTGCTCGCTATTGTCTCGCACTGTGCTGTGCAGCTGGGCTAGTGGCTACTGCTCGTCTGCGAAAGGCGCGCCGGCCCCAGCTTCTCGGCCAACTGGTGTCGTTCTCAGCCACTGGTCTGGGAGGTGGTGTGAGTCAACTCGGGCAATCACACGATCTAGCCGCAAGGATCACCACCGAACATGGCATCGTCCGCGACTGTGGCTTCCAGTCATGCCGCCCGCCCGCTGGTGCGCTGGGTAACCGTAGGTCATCCGGTGATCTTCCATCGGTCGATTTACGTGATAGCGTTCAGTACTGCACCGCCTGACGCTCTCATTGCCTTCTCCTTTCCGGCACCAGAACGACCGTGTCCTGCCTGTGCGACGGCTTTCTCCGCCCCCCCCCCCCCCCCCCCTCTGCCCTCATCCCGCTTCCCCTCCCCAGTCACCCCTCGCCATGATGATTTGAGCTTCCTGGTCCCGTGACTGTCCAGTCCTGTAGCGCTCACCAGGGCTTAGTTAGTTTAGTTGCCGGGGCTTTGGGATACGTCTACTGTGCCGTCATATAGCGCGATAACATATGGAATCATCAGAACTAATAAATTATTCCAAAGCATGTTTTGTTCTGACAATGACTGTGAATGACAGTAACAGCAAGCTTTGATTTGCTTAGGTTAGTCTTGCTACGCATCTCCGCTCATTTACCGTCAAAATCTGAACTTCGCGGGAGACCGGCCTCGGCACCCAGCCATCCCTGTTGGCCCTCTGATGTCGTCGCCGGCCTCTGCCCCGTCGTCACCGGCCCCTGCCCCGTCGTCGCCGCCCTCTACCCGCCTGGGTCATTTGAGTTTTACGACGCACTCAGCTGCTGAGGCTATATAGCGTCACCTGCCTCTCACCCTGGCAGGAAGGGCGGGCACCGCGGGGAGTCGAACCCAGTACCACTGGTTTCCCAGACGCTTTAACTACACTACCGGCACCCTATACCCCGGCCTCTGCCCGTCGTCGCCGGCCCCTGCCCCGCCGGCGCCGTGGCCGGAACTCACCGGGCGTGCTGCGGCCCCACCCGGGCCAGGTCAAACGACGACGTCACCGTGATGGCCGAGTCCGGAATGGCGCCCGACTCCATGCCCAGTGCGGCATCGCACTCGCCTGAAACGGACGGCCAGCGTCAGCGAGGGAGGGGCAGCACGGGCTCGAGCGCCGTCGGGAGGGCGGCGACGAGACCGGGGATCGAACCCAGTCCAGGGGAACTGCTGAATTCATTGCTGCCCGGATTCAGTTCAGTTCGTTCGGGAAATGTGATGTTTACGTTTGCATTTCGGTCGTTTATTTACATGGCAGTGTACCAGTTTAGTTTGGCTTATTTGGTTCTGGTTGCGGCGCTGGGTTCATGCTTCATGTTCCAGCCACCCAGCTGCTGGTTATTAATGACGACCTGCATGGAGACGAACCACAAGAGTCCAAGATGTGTTAGGACATTGAAACGTAGCTTCATATGAAAGGAGCCGTCATTCAAATTCCAAACCAGAGATGAATGATCCAACTGTATTTATCCACGTCCTTTTTGTACTGCCATCGTCGGTTGTCGCTTATCTTTCATAGCCCAGCATGACTCATTACGTCATTATCCAATTTGTGCGGGATTGATGCTGTTTTAGACCATTGAGCAAAGAAGTGGGTGAATGATAGGCCCACTCGGCCTTCTGCGAACACAGCGCCAGGGCCTCCATTACCATGAAACGCAAAAAAATATCCACGCTGCCGGTCGCCAAACGTCACACTCCTGCGCGGAGTAACCGGGGCCAACGCTCCGTTGATGCCCCCCCCCCCCCCTCCTAATACTCTAAAACCGGCCCCAGATTACACACCAGTGAATGACAGATGAGGTGTAATACAGGCGACCGGGCAAACACCTGTATTTGTTACCAACTAACAGCCACCTGTGACCACCAAATAAGTGATAACTGGGGCTCCGCGAGGGCGCTTGGCCGGCGGCCGGTAATGACGTAGTTCCGGCCGGCCGTCTGGTCCAATCACATGGCCCGATCGCTCCACGCCGCACTCATTTGTTCTCCACACCTGGCGCCATCTATCGGCCATATAAAACTTTTATGGAGCGCCCACGTCGTGTGCCGTCGCTGGTTTGCGACCTGGAGAGGGAGGGAGGACGTCGAATGTGGGTCATCTGGGACAAAGCAGAAATGCTCCGGTAGGGCCAGGGGTGTTAGTTTCTTTTTTCAGTTGGGGGTTTTCAGCCTCCCCCCTCTCTCAACTTGGGCTCCGGCACTCAACTTTGGGAAGAAAGTTATCCGGATCTGGAGGAAACCAGTTTTGTGACAATTTTTTGGGTAGGTTGCGTCATTTTGTACTGCTCAGCCCCCCCCAAACTCATTTTTCGAAAATGCGTCGCTGGGGCAGGCTGTTTCGGGGCATGTGATGGGGGAGTTTGACGCCAGGGGATGAGTGTAGTCATATCGTTCGCGATTGTCTGTCTCTCTTAGTCCAGTCGGCGACGGGCAGTTTTCGCAAAACAGAATCACCAACCCACAAACTTTGAAATCGCACTGCGTAGGCTTAAGAGTCCGAAATGCCTCCATTCACTTCAACTTTCGATTCGCCCGTCCGTCATGGAGCAAACGTAATGACGGGGCTAATACGATCATGTTGCGTCACTCATGCGTCATGAGTCCGCGGTGCGTATGTTCGTAATTAAGGTGACTGTGCTCTACTTGTGGCTGAGTCAGTTTTCCTGCCCCGGCACCTACATCATTGTGTTGTATTACCTATATTGCAGTGGTTGGCACCCCAGGAGCCGGTACCCCCCCCCCCCCCCCCTTCCGCGGAGGTCCTCCGATGGGACCGCGCTGGCGCCGCCGCCGGACGGAGGAGACGGCGGCGGGGGTGCGGCCAGCTCCGGAATGGCAGCCACGCGGCCCCGCCGGCGCGTCGCGCCCGGGCCAGTCCAATTTCCGCTACATCATCGCCTGACGCGCGGCGACACCGTCGCAGATCGATTGCCGCCCCTCCTCCGCGGACGTCCGGCGGACACGGACGGACCGCGGACACCGGCGCGGCCGAAGCCGTCCAGGCGACGTGGGCCCGGCCGGGCACCGCAGAGGGTCCAGGCAACGTGGGCCCAGCCGGGGACCGGAGGAGGTCGCGCCAGGACCGCGGCTGCCGACCAGACCAGGCCGGACCAGGCCAGACCAGGTCGAGTTCAGGGATGAGTTGGTGACGTATGGGCCTTAACAACAGGCGTAGGGCTTTGGAATGAAGCGCAGCAGCTGAAGATCCACAGCAGGCAGCAGCCGGTTATGGATGCCGTCAATGCCCCAGGGGGGATTAACTCCACACAGTAATTTCTTATCGGTTCAGCACGCCTTCAGCCGGCGCCGGGTATCTCCTAGCGCTCCACCCCAAAACCCAATACGAAAAGGCAACACCAGCCCACATTCAGTGTCTTTCATTAACGACCGTGGACATGCTGTCGTTGTCCTACTTCCACAGCGGAGCGTATCGATAACTGAGGCGGATCTGTGATGCGTGTGCTAGTTCGCAACACGCAGGACTCATTGCAAGGCTGATACCGATTCGGACGTGGTGGCATTTAGAAATGAAAAAGGGCCCGAAATGCCTAATCGGCATTCCAACCAGTGAAAACATCACACGAATACCGTAGTCCCTCAGTTGGCGTAACCTGCGGAAAGTGCAGTTAAATTTCCCCACTTCGATTAGCCTGTACAACACCGAAAAACTTCTGGAATCCGTCAAATGAACCATAAAAAGCCAGCTGCATCGTAAACTGTCGTCATTGGTAACCGCAACAGAGCGGCTCCTCAAGCGCCACTGTGTTCAGAACGTGTTATCACGGACAACTGAAGGATGGTGGCGAACCACGCCGTGACAGCGGCGCTATTGGCGTCGAGTATTTTTAGGCGGCCGTTTGTAGTGTGTGTCTTCTCAAGCCGCCGCCGAATTGGGAGCTTAGGGGCCTGACAGTCGCCTGCCATATTTGGCCCGTATACGGGCGTGGGTGTGAACGGCCGTGGGAGGAGGAGGCGGGGCGGGAGGGGGATCGGCAAGCGTGGCGGCGGTGGCCAAACGCGAACAATCGGCGCTTTATGTGTGTGCCAGCGCGCACCAGAACCCCTCATCAGCGTCGCGCTCTCACGGCGTCCGGCAGACGGCGCCGCCCACGGGGCCGGATGACACCGGCGCAAAAACGGCGTCAGCTATCCGGCAGGCGGCTAGTCAGCACCGACGGCGGGCGAGCGGGCGCAGGGCCATGACCTGCGCCCCCACGGCCACAGGCCCCTGATCTGTGTCTATGTATCTGCAGGTTACTGACCACTGTCTGCGTGCGGAGGTTCCTGAGCTATCTATGTCCCTGTGCTCCAGGGTCCGTGACCTGAGCGTCTGAGTCTGTGGGTCTCTGATCCGTCCCCCCTTGACGGCGGATCCCTATTCGTCTGGGACAGGCCAGTCTTGCGGTTTCAGGGGGAGCCTGTTTGGTTCTAAGCGCAGACCGCAATAGTGGGAACGGCTCTCTGTCCGATCTTTCGCCTTTAAATCGCGCCTTAAAAACCGCCACGGGAGCGCTCAAAGAGCGCTGTTTTGATGGCCGAATGGAAAGCTCAGAGAGCGGCTGTGGGCAGGGCTGGACCTGGCTGGTCGTCTGGCGTCGAACGGAGGCTGTCCTCCCCAGCGAGGGGCTGGGCAGAACTGGACCTGGGCTGGTCGCCTTGCGTCGAACGGAGGCTGTCCTCCCCAGCGAGGGGACGGGACGAGCGACAGACCGGGTCACCGCCCCGCTCCGCGTGCGCATACCGCGACAGACTGAGAGACCCGATCGGGAGGGAGGGGGGGGGGGGCGAGCGACCAGCCGGCCGCCGCACGCTGGCAGAATTGGAAACGAGGCGGCGGCGGCGGCGGTGGTGGCGATAGTGACAGGCACAGGGAGGGTGAGGCGCTCCGGGAAGCGCCGCTTCGGTCCGCGAGGTCCTGCGGGTCATTCCGCGAGGTTTTTCCTCGCCACGCACGGCAGGCGAGAAGAGGCTGAGTACGTCAAAGGACGGACGATCGAAGGGGGACAAGGGGAATGACAAAGCATGATCTGACCTGATGAAACCATGGCCGAACGGGCGGCGGCGGACTGGAGATAAGCTGTCGTGCTGTCGGCCGGCAGAATACGGACAGCGCTGGGAAGGAAGCGCCCGAATCCGGCCCCCGATAGACAACGCGGGGATAGACGAAAAGGGCCGTCAAATGACGTCATACCGGTACGGGAAAGGCGTGGTGAAGCCAGGCAGACGGACACACATGAAGCCCAGCTGGATGCTAAGGTGATAACGGAGAAGCAAAATTGGAAACGAAGCGGCGCCGAAGAAGAGTTTGCGGAAGGATTGACACCATGGATGGAATGATATAACGGACAAGTTCAAAAGAAAAGAAGAGAGAGAAAAAACATAAGACCGGAACTGCGTCTTAAAACATTTGAGAACGTCTGAGAACAAATATGAATGACAGTGGGCATTGTGGATCAGAGAAACAAAACTGGAACAACCTGATGATCAATTAATAGGCCGCGGCTGCGGCGGCGGTGGTTTCTGCGAGGAAGCTCATGGAGAAGACAGTGTAATCAAGAAACTGAAACTTGAAGGGAGCGCTCAGTACAAATATAAGTGAGATACCATGGAAGCTCATTATATTTTGCCTGTATATGTGTGAGCGTAATATGCAGTTCGGATCTCTTAAGGTAACACTAATCCACCTACATGTACCATCAGACGCTGGTTCAGTGATGTTATGAAGTAAGTTGTCATGAAGCCAGTATAGCCAAGATTTGGTTTATAAGATCACTTAGCCTGGAAAATGAAAAGTCGCTCCTTGCGTCAATGGGAACACCAACCCCACGGCACCGAAAAATCACCGAAAAACTCGAAGGAGCCCGATTCCTTTCTTTCTTGTAACAAAAAATTAACTTAGTTGAATGTAAACACAGAGTCGCTAACGGGCGGCATCCATTACAGCCGACGCCCAGACGATAAAAATAAACCACATACAGTTCCACACGCATTGAATAAGCTACGCGTCTACGGCCATATCGGCAAGTCAAACGTAACCACCTCCAGGCGGAATGCATAAACCCAGCGTGAGATGCATCGACATTGGCACGCTTGCGAAGAAGCAAAGATAAGACTCCGTCTGCTTGGCATACAATTTGTGCCTAGCATTGCTGACTCGAGCTAAAGGTGTCTGCAGCAGCGACAGACGACGGTCTGCGTATGGCGGAGCGAACAGTGAAAAGGAGGCTAACAGAAACGATGAGTGTATCTTTCCTTGAGGAATAGCGTGCAAATCCGGGACATTGTGTTGAGTCCTGCAAGGGTTACACGCTTTTAAGTTAACATGATTCTGAAGATCGAGACGGGACGGAGATCGAGATGGGACGGAAGATCAAGACGGGATGGAGATTGGGATGGGATGGAGATCCATTTAAGACGGAGATTGAGATGGGATGGAGATCGAGATAGGGCGGAGATTGGGATGGGATGGAGATCCATTGAGGACGGAGATCGAGATGGGACGGAGATCGAAATGTGACGGAGATCGACATGGGACGGCGACTGAGATGGGACAAATATCCAGCTAAAGCGGAGATCGGAAACTTGTGCGTTAATACGAATGTGAGTTCAAGTCAGATCAAACACATGTGCTCTGTGTATAATGCACTGCAAGAACTGTCTGCATGACCTATGACAGCTCCCTGCCAAATCACGCTACAAGAGTCGTGAGGTATTGGAAAGAGCGAATCAAGAGTTTTAGCGCCCGGCGAGCCTCCTCTATCGTTAAGTCGGCATGCAGCCCAAATGTTAGGTTCTCGAACGAAATGACCGCTCAGACCGCGGATAATGTTAACATCCTCCAGGGCTGTGCTATCGATCAAATAAGCGATATCTATTGGCTCACTTGTGTTTACAGCACACGACGTCAAACGGAGCGACAGGAATTGGCGCTGAGCGGATCAGCTGAGGTGTTCTTGCCCGTGCTCGAAGCGGATGATGCAATGTACAGGGTCTCCCACACGCATCGTTGACAGGAATCACCCAATCATATCGGTGACGTCAGCGCCGCCTCCGGCCGGCTTAGCCTGTCCCGTGCTGCGATTACCCGGCTCAAGCGGCGCCGTGCGCCGGGCTCGGGCGTGATCGCCAGGTTTTAGTGAATTCACCTTGAGTAAACAACCTGCGGCGACACTGCGTTTCAACAAACAGACGCGGCCGCGGCCGGGCTGCAGCACAAATACACAAACTGACGGCTGGCGGCTCCGATAAAATGGATGGCGGGTTTATTTACGGCGTGTCGCGCTATCGGTCAGGCACAGATTGGCCGCGGCGACGCCCGCGGCCGCCATCTTGCCCCGGGTCGCGGCGCGCTGTTTTGGCGGAGGGCAACCCCGGGGCGGCCGTGGGCCCGTGCACGCGCGCCAACAATTAGCGATGGTGATTTAAACCGACCGGGGATAAATTACGACGGGCCGCACGCCGGATCTGTGCACCTGACTGCGACCCATTGGAACAACGGGGGACTGGAGCTTGCTCGAGGAGAGCGGCCACAGCGGGGCGCGGACGTGACCGACGGAGGGGTCACAGTCAGAACCGCAGCTCCGTGGGCGGGGAGGTGACCGAAGGAGCAGTCACAGGCGGAATCGCAGCTCCGCGGGCGACGACGTGCTTGACCGAGGGTGATGACGTGACCGAGGGAGGGGTCGCAGTCAGAACCACGGCTCCGCGGGTGCGGAGGTGACCGAGGGGAGGGGGGGAGGTCACAGACAGAGTTGCAGCTTCGCGGGTGAGGACGTGACCAACTGCGGGCGAGGATTTGACCGAGGGAGGTGTCACAGGCAGAATCACAGTTCCGCAGGCGAGGACGTGACCAACTGCGGGCGAGGACTTGACCTATGGAGGGGTAACAGGCAGAATCATAGCTCGGCGGGCGAGGACGTGATTGACCGCAGGCAAGGATGTGACCGAGGGAGGGGTCACAGTCAGAACCGCAGCTCCGCGGGGGAGGACGTAACCGGGGGAGGGGTCACAGGCAGAGCTGCAGCTCCCCGGGCGAGGACGTGACCGACCGCGGGCGTGTGTGTCCGAGGGAGAGGTCACAGGCAGAGCTGCAGCTCCCCGGGCGCGGACGTGGCCGAGGGAGGGGTCACAGGCAGAGCTGCAGCTCCGCCGGCGCAGGTGACTTTTGTTCGGCGTGGTGGTCTGAGCCCACAAATCTTGTGAAGCCACTAACTGTGCCGTGCGCTTAGACACGGCAACGGTCGGAAGGCGCACTTCAAGCGTCTGTGAGCCAAAAGCTCGGGATGGTAAACCAATTCGATGTGGGTGTTTGGTATAACGGAGTGAAGAGTGAACATCTGTGATGACAAGACAAATTGTAAACATGACCAGGCCAAGTCCGGTTCGATTAAACGCCGATATATCCATCGCTAAACATGGGTGCGTTTCGTAACATGTACTCACGGATGTCAAACTGGTGTGATGTCGCGACCAGGGAGGCCAACAGAAGGAGGTGCTGCAGGCTGGCCATCTCCGGATTCACATCTCCAGCTGGCAGCCACCTGTCGGGGGCGGAGGGACACGGTCAGGGGCCTGGCTCGTCCTGGCTCCGCGGCCGCCTCGACCGCCGGCAAATGCGAACACGTCACGTCACGTCACGTCACGTCACGTCAGAGCGCCCGCAGTCTGGTGACGTTTCATATTGTGAACGCTCGGCAGCACCCGCGGTCCCGCCCTGGACCGCCCTGGGCTATATACACGCGTGTGTGCACGTGTTCGCACGTTGGGACGCCTCGGCGGCGGTTGCGCCGCGGTGAGTCCGCGGTTCGGCTACCGCGGCAAACCAATATTCATTGTCAGTAGGTCAGGAGCATTGATCCGGAGGGAGGCAGTTACCATCCGCGTTTTCAGGGTAAATCATCAATCGGTTAAACTTACCACTAAGGACGCGATTTTTTGTTCTCGTTAATTGCTTCGAATTACGTGCAGAGACGTGGTGACAAACGGCAGGCGCAGAGTTTGACCGTGTCCTGAAGCCGGAAGGCTCTTTTCAATTAGAGGAATGCAGCCTAATGCTATTTCGAGCCGCAGTGAACAGCCCTCGACGGGACGAGGACGGTGGCGCTGCGACCACACGTGGTAGCCCATCAACTCTCTGCCCCAGAAATACTCCTGATTGCACTTCACTCCCCACTCGGTAAACAGAGCCCGGCACAAACACGTCGGCGGTCGGCCGCCGTCCGGAAGCCGACTTCCGGCTTGTTTCGCGCCATGCACCGCGGCGCCGTTTCGCGCCAAATTCCCGCCGCAGATGGCGAGGCGGTGGCGGAGCGCGGAAACGAGCCGATGATTTGCTTAATGAAGTGATCGTTTCCGTCCGGTGCTCCCCACGCTCCTCGGAGCTGGCATCTCCGGCCGGCCCGCTCACAGAGCGCTCTGCCCACGCCGGGATCAGCACACAACAGACCAGACTCGCCTCGGCAATGTGCGGCTAATCCTGCCAGGCTGCGTGCGGGGAGGCGACGGGGCGGGGGGGGGGGGGGAGGGGGCGGTGTCCCAGCAGACCCGATCTTTGTCGCCTAGTATCGGAGACAAGGGAAACCCGCATGTAAGTAGCAGGCGTCTTGGCTCCGGGAATAATGCCCCCTGGGCATTGGCTGCGTTTCGGAGATGACAGACAGCCCGGACGTGCAGAGAAGAGAGGGCTGTCGATCACGGCGATTATACAGTGTTATGGGCTGGCTTCCAACAATTTAAAAGTCTGCCTGTCGACGTGCGCGCTACCCAGCTGGCTAACCGAGAAACGGACCTCGGGCAGGACGCTGGACATCGGCCAGACGTCCCGACGCTGGGCCAGGCTGCGGCGGCGACCTCTTGACCCGCAGTTTGCTCGCTGCGCTCTTCTGGCAAGGGGAGGAGGGTCAGCAGGTCACAGCGGAACACGGACACAAGCACTGCGATGCGTCTGCGTGTCCCCCCCCCCCCCACGTGGACGTGATCAGAAGCGGAGAGAACGCTCGTCACCTCAGCCGTCCAGGCGGCGCGACCTCGTAACCCTCTGTCTGTCCTGCACTCGCTCCCCACGTGGTGTCTGGAAGAGGTACGCGCTTGCATCGCCCCTGGCGCGTCAGAACCGCGCGACCTTTTGACCCGGCATGCTGTCCTTCACGCGTGCGGCGCGGGGGTTCGGGGAGGGGTGCGCGGGGCCGCCCGTCGCGACGCAGCTGGTTCGGGGGTCGCGCGCGGCATCCGGCCGACCCACGCGCCAACGTTTGCTCCGCTAATGAGACGGGACGAGACGTCGGCGCCAAATATAACGCGCCGGGACGCGTTCAATTATCGCGCAGTCACTTACGCGGGCAAACGCAACCCTGTGTTTGCGGCGGCCACTCGGCCGAACGACGGAGGCGACGGCGCCGGCCGGCCGCGGTGGCGGCAGAGGCGGCGGCGGCGGTCCGCCAATTACCGCCGGGTCACGCTCCTCTGCAGGCCCGCTGACGTCGATTGCCCAATGGCCGAGTGAATGCGGCCGACGCAAATGAGCAGGTCGGTCCGCCGACGCGTGACGAAGGGCCGCCGCCGGATTTCGCTCGAGCGCGCCAGGGCGCGGGCGGCGCCCGCGGAGTCAGGGAGGGCGCTCGATCGGCCATTGATAGCGGCGGCGGGCGCGGCTCCGTCACGAATACTTTCATCTCGGGCGTTAGTGGCAGTGCTCCGGTTGTAGCCGGCCGAGTAATTAGCTTAATTCCGGCGGCCGCAATTATTAGAATAGGGCCGGGCGCGCCGCTATCTCCAGTCAATTAACTACGGTCGGGTAATGACCATAGATCACTCGCTGTGTACCGACTGCCAGAGTTAACAAAAGAAATTACCTCGGGAAACGATCCAATTAACTGGAAACGCACGCTGGGTCAATAGTGGCGGACGTGTGGTCGCCGGCTCTCATTCTAAAGCCCGTGTGACTCTCCCGGACGGCATGGTACACCTGAAGGGGTGGTGGTGAGAACGGGGAGCAGAGTGGGCGCTTCGCGACGACTCTTCTGTTTCCGCTGACTCATCGTGCATTTTCGTCTCACGCTTGACCCTCATGCGAGCGTAACGTGCAACCCCATCCAGTCGCGTAATTGTCGCTGGTGCTTCACGCCATCTTTCGTCAGCGCTCATCGCTTCCCGTTCGAGAAGAGATTAGCACAACCTGATCATGGTTCCAGCCGCACCCAGATTGTCCCCCCCCCCGGCCTTCCTGGAAACGCCACTGGCCTTGTCGACGCGTATCGCGTACGGCCCGTCCCTCTTCAATCTGCTGGAGGCGCCCCTGGCCTAGTCGCTGAGGCTGGACCGCGGTCGCTGCGCTCGCGTGCGTCCCCCAGCCGGCGATAATTAGATGCCACCGTCGCCGCGACGCATCGCTTGCGTGCCGGACGCGACTGCAGTGAAAGGCGCCGAACCGCGGCCGCGGCCACCGCCGCGCAGATCGGCGAAAAACGGCGCGGCGGCCGCTGCGCGCGCGCCGCTTTTTCTCCGCGCGCTGCAAGCGGCCCACTGCAGAGCGCGCGGCTGTTGTTTGTCTTCAAAAATCGTTTACTTCTCCTGACAGGCGCCCGGGACGGTGATGTTTAATTGGGCTCGAGAACGCTCGACCGAGAAGGCTTCGCGAGCACAGCGGAAAATCAGCCCGCGACTGCCGGTCGCGCTGGCGGCGACGTCTCAGCGGCGGGTGGTCCCGACGCGCGCCGGGCGCCGCACCGCCGCCTCGCCGCGGCTCCGCAGTCGTGCGCCGCGTCTGTATACAACGCCGCCGCGCCGGTGGCCAAATATTCACGGCGGGCCGCGCCGTCGGCGGACGGCTGCGGAGAGCCGGTGTGCGCCGGGCCTGCGCTGGCGGGCCGGCCGCTGCCGCTGTTTACCCGGGGTGATTCAGGGACGGCGGAGCGGCGCGGGCAGACGTCGTCCCGACTGACAGACGCTCGTCAACCGGCGGCCGTGGGCGTGAGTCATGCCGTGTCGTCCGCGGCGGCAGGCCGCAGCGGACACGCGCCCTGCGGTTCGTCCACTGCTGCCTTCCGACGCCGCCCTCGCAGGCTGGTGCCAAGCGTGGGGTCGGTCTCGGGCGCGGCATCAGCATCAGCGCTGGAGGCTCTCGGTGATTTCTCGGTTTGTCACGTTGCTGGTTAAATAGGTCACGGCGCCGTGTCCCGAGCATTAGTTCAGCTCACGACGCTGCGAGCTGCCCTCTGCTTCCACCACGCGAGTTATTCTTTGCCGCCATCTTCTGCCACGCACGCACCACATTCGCAAATACACGACTGTTCAGCGATGCCGCTGAGCGGGCCACGCGCCTGGCGCCGCAGACCAGACGCGTTGCTGCCACGCCACCGGGGTTCAGGGGTGACACACGACAACGCGTGCCCCGCCGGGGTCCAGGCGTGGCACGCGACAAGCCGTGCCGCACGCAGCGCAGCGCTGCTGCCGGCGCGGCGCGCGGCCGCACGCCAACCGGAAGTCGTAGCCCCGCGCCGAGCACGGCTTAGCTGCCGACGACCGGACCGGACCGCCGTTCTGTCCGCTAATGGTATTATCTCGGCGGCGGGGCCAATGGCCCGATGGCTTGAGAGGAGCGGGCGCGTGAGGCTTTTGCGGCAAAAGCGGCGCACTGCGCAGAGCGACGAACGAAGCCGGCCGGCGGCTGTCGATCTGGATCTTATCGGGCCGTCCTGTCAAACGGACACGACAGGTTTGCAAGTGGGGTGTCGTTTAAATCCGGCGATAAGGGGCTGTGTTCACCGAGACGGGTCTGCAGAGCGGCCGCCGATGGAAACGGTTCGGGGGGGGGGACGAATCAAAGGTGCCCGGGTGAGCGAAATCCTCAATTTTTGCCTGGTCGAAAGAAAGGAGAGGATCATCACAGCAGCGCAACCGCAGTGTGGTGTGATCTTAAGATAAACCAAGCTAGAAACGGCTTGCAAGTCACCGCCGTCTCTCACTCTGCCCCTGCCCTGCCCGGGTTGTCGTGAGTTTGGATCTGCGCTGATCCCGTCTCACGGTATGACCGAACGCGTCACGTCGGTCAGCTGAGCCGTGCGAGAGAGCGACAGCGGTGAAAGTGCATATGAAACACAAAACATGGCATGCTGGTCTCTTCCACCTGTGGATGGCGCCCCCCCCCCCCCCCCCCCCCCCCCACTCAACTGCCTAAGCTGAACAGGGCGAGCAGCCCGAGCAATCATCCCCGAACGTCTTGGACCCATCCCGGCCGTTGTCGTTTTTCATTAGAGCATTGTTCAAGTTAAAGGAAGCGTGCCATCTTTTTGTACCTTTCACTTTTCGTTGGATCAGACGCCACCTATTTGATTGGTGATGTCACTTTTCCTGACATCCCTCTCAATAACTCAGAATTTTTATCTGAAGTAACCGGTCCTGCGGGAGAAATTTCATTGGACTCTCTGCCATCACTATGAAAGAAATGCTGTTTCTTTGCCTTCCTTTTTCTAACGTGTAAGCTCTCAACATCTGTATTACACTAATTCGCCAAATTATTTCCGTGATAAATGCCACGGAACCT